AGGACCTTCGCCTCGGAGAGTTCTCTCAATGGCAGCTGCCTCATAGCAGGAAGCTCTTGTCGTTGCTCGACCACCTCTTCGGCACTCATATGGCATTGTATAGCTAGACGCGCTGGTAAGAGTAGAAAAAAAAAAACCAAGTGCCAATCGCCACTGTGAAATCCGGAGGCTTTGAAAGGACCAACAGCACACACACCGCCCACACACACATATTTATATGCTCTCACGTGTTGCTGCAGTGGAGGCACCCCGCACAGAAAACCGTCGCCGCGTGGCCGGATCCAGCGGAAGGAGGAGGGAAGGAGGAGAGAGTGAACCGCAGAGGCCCCACATGTACCGACGTGTCATTACTTCAGCGGTGCTTCTCCTCGTCGTGATGGGGATGTGCTGCAACACTGTGCAATCCGTTGTGGTGTCAAATTCAGGGCGGGGGTCGATCCTTTTGTGCCGCAGACGACGCTGGTTTAGTCGAAGGATGGGATTGTTCCAGTTACGACGAGGGATTCGTTTGCCTCACCCTCTCCTGTCAGTGCTGGTGGAGTAATTGCTGCTTTTTCCGAGGGTCACACGGATGCCGAATATCAAGGTGGTCAACTAAGTGAGCCCTTTTCTTTTGACGTTGTTGCGAGGTGCATTGACTCTGCGTGGGATTGGTCCACTGTTGTTGGTGAGGTCAATGAAAGGATGCATGGAGGGCACACACTGTGCTTGGTGCAGCGGAGGGAGAGGAGAGTTTGGGTGTTGTGCTCCGACGCACAACAATCATGAAGGGCAACGGAGTGTTTTCTCCTGCGGGAGGCTCTGATGTGTCCTACGAAGGTGTGTGTTGGAGAGAGGGCGGCTTGGAGCTGAAACTGGTTGTGGGTGATGTCACGAATCCCACGGGTGGCAAGCGGAGTGGACGGATCGAATGGGGCGACCCCAAACCACTCCCGGAACGGATCTCTTCTGCTTCCCACGAAGGTGACTGGACGGAGTTCATTGCTTCTGGTGGCTCAGGTGTTGTGATGATGGATGGCACGTTTGTGTTTCCTCTGATGGCGAAGGATGAGGCAGAATACGTTTGCTCCATGATCATTTACTCGACGGACAACGGCAGTACCTGGTCGCTCTCTGAGGACACTTCCCCTGCGGAATGCCTTAACCCCGCGTCACCGAGTGGGAGGGATCACTTCTCATGATTGTTGACTGCGAGAATGGCCGGAGGGTGTACGGGTCGCGTGGCATGGGGACAGCGTGGACGGAGGCCATTGGGGCACTCTCAGCCGTGTGGGTCAACGCACGATCAGGAGTCCCTCAGAAGGAAAACCTGCGTGTGGATGCCCTCATGACCGCGACCATTGAGGGAAGGAAGATCATGCTGTGCACTCAGAGAGGGCATGCCTCGGGGAAGGAAAGGGCCACTGCGCTCTGCCTTTGGGTCACGGACAACAACCGCACTTTTTCTGTTGGACCGGTTGACGTGGACAATGCTTCAAAGCGGAAGACAGAATTGGGGGACTGCGGTATGTAATTCGATAAACCCAATTCGTTGCGGCGGCGTGTGTACTGTGCGCATGGTTCTATCTTGCGGTGCGGCGTGGATGGCGTTGCTATTGCGTGTGCCCTTGTGTATGCACTGTGCTGCGGGCATCTCTTCCCCATCACACCGCCCTTGTGTGTGGGACAGTGGAGGGAAGTGGGGATGTGTGATGGAGTGAGGGTGGCCGTTGTTTCCGCACATTTTCTTCTTCCACACGTGGCACCACTCGGCAGTCTCTTGCAGCAGCAGGCCGTGGATTGAGAGGATGTGAAAGTCCGCTTCAATTACAAGGACGACAAGATGCGGCGCATGACGGCCAACCTGGTCCGCGTGTGGTCGCAGTGCATGGAGCACGTGCACCAGTACGCGTTGGGCGTAGCGCTCATGATTGTGGAGGAGAGGCGGCACGACGTTGTGGTGCTGTGTGTGTTGCGCGGCCGGGGCATGCCGGCGATTGTGAGGGACGTGGAGGACACGGAGCTGCTGGACTGAGGGAGGAGGTGGCGGACGTTGCGGCGCAGCGGGAGCGCATGACGGCTGCGTGTGGTGGAGGGGCGCGTGTTGAAGTGAGCGTGGCGTGCCTGTGAGGGCCTGAGGAGAGGGAATAACAGCAACAGTGACTGTGGGAGTGTGAGGAACGGTGCAAGGCGAGGAGCGCTCTTCTTTTGTTTTGATTGTTGGTGAACCGCGCCCAACTAATTGTTGTGGTGCGTGACTCTCATTGCTGGATGGGACGGTGCGTGTCACTGTGTGACATGTCTCTCTTTCCTTTGCCTTCACTCTGCGTTGACGGGGAGCTAGTTTGTGCTGAAGGCTGCACGCAACTGACAGGAGTGATGGCGATGATGATGACTGGCCGTGTGCTGCTGGTGTGTGCCCTCTGCGTGCTGTGGTGCGGTGCTGCCGATGGTGATGTTGTTGGTCCCGTAACTTCCGGCGATCCTGGTGGTGGGCAATCTCCTCTCGCAGATGGGAGTCATGGTGGCAGTGGAGGTAAAAAGGCTGATATTTCTCATGAAAGTAAAAGTGAACCTTTGGTTGCTGCGTCCGGGGAAGAATCACCAACTGTTCGTATTGGTCCGGATGGTGTTTCAAGTCTCTCTGAGGAACATTTACGCCCGGAAAAAAGAACCTCCAACGGAAAACAGGAAGAGTCACAATCACCGCCTCAAGATGCATCGCCGACTAAAGTGAATCCAGCAGAAGCACTTGATTTCCTTCCGCAAGAACGGTTGCTCGGCACACCAGAAAAAGAGGTTATCACTAATGGTGGTGGCGGTGGAACTGCGAACGGGGGAAAAGAGGATACCGACCAGAATGCCGGGTTATCCCCTGACAGCAGCGACTCCTCAGTCCCCCCAGTACCACAAGTCAATCACGTATTACCACCAGCAGAGCCATCACCAGCGATGACCGTTTCAGCAGAAGAAACAAACTCACCAGCACTAACAGGCTCGCAGCATGCAACTGAGAGAACAAGCACGACCTCACCGTCACACAGTAAAACGGCGCCTGGAGCACCGGAAAAATCATCAGGGAATGGTGAGCCAAACCAACACAGAGAAGACTCAGAAACACCAGGTTCGATGAAAGATGGACCTACAAGTCATCCAGCAGAAACACCAGCACCATTGGTATCTACAAGTGGCAGTGATGGAGCCCAGAAAAAGGAGGACAAGGTTGATAACAGTGATCAACGGCCTAACAACAAAGAACCACAATACGGGCACGAAGATGGAAATACCGAGGATGCTCCCACAGCAAATGAAACTGCACCACAAACAGCAAAAACGATCACCACTCAAAAGAATGTTACATCTAAGCCTGGCGACAGTGACGGCAGCACCGCGGTCTCCCACATCACCTCCCCTCTTTCGCTTCTTTTTGTTGTTGCGTGTGCGGCTGCTGCGGTGATGGCTGTGCCTGCATGGAGTGTTGTGCGCTGAATGTGAACGAAGGCTGAAGGCAACTGAAGTGTTTTTGTGCTAGATATTGGCCGCACTTCCCGTGGACCAACAATTCGCGTGGTGTGCGGAGATATCTCTTTTTTTATTATAGCTTTGCTGTTGTGTTGCTGTGGGCGCTGCACCTCCTCTTGTGTGTGTGCGTACCCTCCGTGAGGGGTGCCGACACGACGGACCGCTCTCGCCGTGTGTGCATGCGGTGGAGCCTTGTGTGCCGCTCCTGTTTGCTTCTCCCTCTTCCATCTGTGTGTTGGTGTTGCGGCAGGGCTGTGTGTGTGTGTGTTGCTGCCGTGGATTGGAGTGTGTGTCGTGCGTGGTGTGCGGCGTACGGTGCATGCCTGGCTGCTGCCCTCTCCTCATGTGGTGTGCCCTCTGTGTGTGTCTGCCGCACCTCTCGTCTCCCCTGTTGCTCTCCATGTCCCTCACTGCGCAGATCAGCTCCACACCACTGAACGACCACACTCGCGGTGATGATGACGTGCCGTCTGCTGTGCGCCCTGTTGGTGCTTGCCCTGTGCTGCTGCCCGTCCGTGTGCGCGGCAGAGACTGTTGGAGACATTTCCGCCGGCTCGGGCATGTCGCCCCCTCAGTCAAAAGCGCGAGATAATCCCGATAATGGACAGGATTCACAGACGGACAATGGTGCGGAACTGGCAGATAGTAGGAGCGTTGAGGAAGGGTTACGAAATGGGGGCTCGACTCCTCTAAAGAGACAAGAGAACACTGTAGAGGTACAGAAACCAAATACAGAGGCTGCTGCGTTACAGTCGGGAAGTGCGGCGTCCGGTGCAGGACAGGTTTTAAACGAAAAGCCCGGTTCGATACAGGTATCAGGTACGGCTGTTGAGGGACAGGATGGGAAAAAAGCCGATAAGGAAATAAAAGCAACTACTTCCACGACGTCCACGACGACGACGAAGGCGCCAACTACTTCCACGACCGCTGCAACACAGGCACCAAGTACCACTACGACTACAGAGGCGTCAACCACCACGACCACCCGCGCACCGTCACGTCTCCGCGAAATCGACGGCAGCCTCGGCAGCTCTGCGTGGGTGTGTGCCCCGCTGCTGCTCGCAGTATCCGCGCTGGCGTACACCGCTGTGGGCTGAAAGGGAGCATGGGCTGTGCGTGCCAGCACTCAGCCACGGGGACATGTGTACGTCTACTGTGGTCCGATGTATGAAGTAAGAGTAATTACGCTGATTGTTTTTTGCTTTGTTTGCTTCCGCTGCCCTGCTGCGCGCTCCGCGTTGCTTCCCACATCCGCCACGTTGAACGCGTCCCAGACACACTCATATGCATGCGCAGCGGAGTCTTGAGTGTGTTTTTTTTTGTTGTTAAATTGTTGCAGGTCGCTGTGCGTTTTTTGCATTTTCATTGGTTCAATATTTCTCATGAAACGCGTACTGCTTCTGGTGTTTTTTACTGTGCCGTGTCTCTTTCCTTTGCTTTCACTCTGCGTTGACGTGATGTTAGTTTGTGCTGGAGGCTGCACGCAAGTGACAGGAGTGATGGCGATGATGGCTGGCCGTGTGCTGCTGGTGTGTGCCCTCTGCGTGCTGTGGTGTGGTGCTGCGGTGGTGGCGTCGTCGTTGCCTGGTGCTACCACTGTCCAAAGTGCTTGGTCGGAGTATATGTTCCTAAATTGGCATGAACTGCTAAAGAACGAGTGCAAGGCGGAAAATGCTACAGAAACGAATTTTGATGAGTCAGCTGTGAAGTGTTGTGTTCATAATGCGATGAGGGAGCTTTGCTACGATGTTTACGGTAAGACTGTCATGGAAAATAAAGACGCTAATGTTGGGGTTATTTGCAAAGAGTATGCTGGAGAACCAAATCATGCTGGTGAATGCCCAAAACAGCAACAGAACCCGTTGCCTGATGCGGAAGCTACAGTGGGACTATCAGTTCCAGAAGTACCGGGAAAGGAAAGAAGTTTGAGAGCACCAGCGGCAGCACCACCGGGAGCATCAACGGCAAAACCAACAGATCCACCACCATCACTGCCTGTGGAAGGACAACATGACGGTGCAGATGACATGCCGGGGCCAAATTCAGAAGAAACCTCAGAGAGCATGAAGACAACCAAAGATTTGGCAGAAGAGGACATTGTCACCACCGCAGACACCAAACAAAATGAAGCATCTAACGGTCAGACCGAAGCAACCACAAAAACACCTCCGCAAGCCAGCGATGATGATGATAACGAAACGGACAAGGGCACTGGAGAAGATACTCCGAACAATGCACCGGAGTCCGATGTTTCCGAGACAGAGGAAAACCACGATGAAAACAAAGGCAATAATTCGAAGGAAACACCGGTCCAAGTTGCGGGTATAAAAACTGTCACGGCGAAGCCTGACGACAGTGACGGCAGCACCGCGGTCTCCCACACCACCTCCCCTCTTTCGCTTCTTCTTCTTGTTGTTGCGTGTGCGGCTGCTGCTGCGGTGGTGGCCGCGTGAGAGTGAGGGAGAGAGAGCCGTGCACCGCCCGCACACACACGCGTCCTTCTTTCTCTGTGTGTGTGTGTCCCCTTGCATGGACTCTCGCCCTCACCTCACCCCACGAGGCACACACAATAATGTGCCCATTGTATATATGCATGCACACCCATGCAGGCCCGTTGGTGCTCTCTTTTGCACGACACGCACCGCTGCCGTCCTGCCTGGCTGCATGGACGGAGCACCGTAACTGTTTCTGTTTTGTTTTTATTGCATTGAGTGGGCGACCTCTCTCTCTCTCCCTCTGTGTGTGTGTTTTGCTTTACGGGAGCAATGAGAGTGTGTGTGCTGGTCGCCCCACGCTTCGGCTTTTTGTTTTCCATTATCTTTTATTGCTTTGGTTGCGTTGTGGTTGGGTGTATCCGTTGCGCTTTTATGATTTTTTTGGTTGCTTTGACTGCGGACATTTGAATCTTCTTTTTTATATTTTCTTGCCGTTTTTTTTATTGAAAAATTGTCGACCTCTCGCATTTTTTTCAGGTCACCACGTTTTTTTTTTTTGTTTTTCCAATTAGGCCACGCGGCAGTTGACCCATTACTTTCCACATTTGACTGCAGCACTTCTGCTTGTGATGATGCATGCTATGTGATTTTCCAGCGGTTGCGTTGCTGTCACTCTGAAGGATTACTGATTTCTTGACGATTTGGTGCGTACCGACGGCGCGAGGTCGATCCCGACTACGGTGGTGAAAATGCATCTCAGAGCGCAGGGTGCATCGCAGGTGTAAATCGTCGTTTGTAGGAACCTATGGGCACCCATCCGCATCAATGTGTCCACAAGGGAATTGAATGATACCAGGAAGTGTTGCCTCTCACAGTGGTCTCACGCAATGCATTCATTGGATGAGAATCGAGGTTGTTAGGATGGTGTTCCTTCCTCTGTGCGCGGCAACATCTTTGCCGAGGAGGCTATCCCCGCTGCTGTCCAACTGCATGCGGATCGTCTGCTCGTCCAGCCACTGGAGGGTCCTTTGATTGCGCCCCCATTTGCCGCGGGCAGCGTTTGCAGTCGGTTCACGGTGCCTGCTGGGCATTGTTCCGCTGGTGTTGCCGATGCTGGCATGGTGCTGTGCGTGGCTGCGGCGCTGGTGGTGTGTGGTCACTGCGGTGCGCCATGCTGGAGGATGGCCGTCCCGTCACTGGCGCCATGAACATTGCCCCGGCAGTTTTCTTTTATGGACGCGTTCTCGTCCGCATTGCCGCGCGCGTGATACCCCATGCTGTAGGGTTTGCCTGCTCGCACATGACCAGCCGCAGCATGGTGAGGAATGTTACCGGTGCGTGGCAGAGCGCTGTCGGTGGTGGTGGACTCGACGACCGCCGTGCTGGCAGCGAGGGAGCACCACGACTGCGACGTCATTGATGGCATGGAGCTGCAGGATGGCGATGGGGACAGGAGGACGCTGGAGTCGCGCTTATCGCAGCGCCACGCGTAGGATGAGTGGATGTTTTTGATTGGGGGTGCCGGCTGCTGCACGGAGCTGACGCTGGCTGCATCGGCTGACCTGGGCTGCATGAGGGTGAAGCGGGAGATGGTGGAGCCGATGCGTTGGTACAGGAATGCGGTCTGTGAGCTGCTGCAGAGGAGGCGCCCCGCATTGGAAATCAGTGAATATCGCCAAATGCTTTGCGAAGTGGGCGTTCTCCTCAAATGCTGCGCGTCGGATCGGTATTTCAGAGGTTGGCCTTCGGTGTAGTATTCATGAAATGTAAGCAAAGCGCCCGATGGACAGTTGCCCCGTCACTGATTCCGCACTGGATGTGAGGGATATTGAGGGTGTTATTTGGAGGGGAGAATATTCGTCTGCGGTGCCTGGGGATGAGCCCTCTTCGTGGCCTCTGAAAACGCTTCCCGCCAACACGAAGAATGCGAGGGAGCCGGAGGAGACACGTCTGAGTGCTGCTGCCATGCATGCGGCATTGAAGTGTCTCTGCATACAGGTGCGTCTGAGAGTGACTGAAAAGGGTAACGTTCGTTGGGCCCCATGCACGGACGGAGCGACGATTAAGTGGGCCACTCGGCTCTACGATGAGGGAAACGTCGTTTGCCGTGACCACGCGGGGGTGTGCAGGATATCCGTCACCGGCGGCAGCATACTTTTGGTGGTTCCGTGGGACGGTGAGAAGAGGGCGTGGTGCAGGACGGTCTCACCGGCATCCACTGAACAAGGATTGCCAGGGGGCATCCGTCGCTGTTGCGGAGAGCATTGGGACTGGCCGTGGAACCCCATCGAAGAATGTTTACTCAGCTGCTTTTCAGTTGAATCCATTGCCAGAGGAGAAGTGGATTCATCCAGGATGCCCCGACAGACCGCAAGAATCTCCTCTCGGCGGCAGGGACTGAAGCAGCGAGACGGAAGGCAAGCAGACCTCGCCTCCGAATCCCGGTGATGAGACAGCTGCTGCTGCTTGTCCCTGTCCGCTGCTTCTTCTGCTTGCTTCTGCTACCGCCGTGGCAACGCTCTATCGAGTTGCTGTGTGGACGGCGTTGCGCTGCGAGGCGAGGCGACGGCGCTTCCTCCTGCGTGGCTCGCACTCAGCATTGGATGCCCAATAGGAAAATATCCATTTCAATGGGTCCCTTTCTCTATATGGATGTGCTGTATGCACTCCGTTTGAATTTGTGTTTGTAATTGGTTGTATTTGCGATGCGCACTGCTCCTTTTGTGTTTGTTGCCGATGAGGGGACAACATATGTTCCTATAGTATTGCTTGTGTGTTTGTCAGATTTTTTGAGGCACACATACACACACCGGTGCGAGTGGAATGCGCACGCACAAGACGCACGCATATATTCAAGCACATTGTCTGTGTGACTTCTACTTGACATATTGTGCAGGGTGGGTTGGTGCGATCAAGGCCGACGGAAGCGGGCAGCCGCGTGAGCCCAGCAATGGCGTTTTTGGTTGTGTGCGGGATTATATCTTTCACCAGATGCTCGACGCCGTTCATGGATCGTCCAAAGTTTTTTTCTGCGATGCCCATGCTGCGGCTGTGCTAAACTGCTCACTGCGTCTTCATGACCTCATGGAGCGCGGCGTGACGCTGCTCGAGGACCTCATGGCGCCGCGGCAGCCGATTATGAGTAGCTTCACGCCCTACTTTTTTGCCGTGGAGGATGCGTGTGTGAGCTGCGTGGTTGAGGATTGGATGGCGAAGGTCCCGTACAGGGATGTACACATCTTTGCGCTGGGGTGCGCCCCGCATCGCAGTCCTCAGCAACTCCCGCGGTCTCGGATAGCGCCGAGGGTGATGCGATTCAAGGAAATGATGTTAGACTTCACCGCCACTGAGGCGCTTGTTTTCCACCCAAATATGCAGAATGGGTTACCTCAGCTGTTGTCGCCGCTGTCGCCACCGACTTGAGAGCCCGTATTGGACGTTGCGGCGTCACGTCCTGTGGCGGCTTTTCACGCCATGAACAACAGTGTGCCCGTCATTTTCTACCAAAACAGATGCAGCATCTGCCATGGGTTTGCTAGTAATTTCTTTGAGGGCTCGCCAGGCAATGCCACGACGAACCGGATTTCACCTAGGGGCGCCGACAGCTGCAGCAACCCGGTGCGGATCATCGTTGATTGGGGCTGTGCCACGGTGACGCCGCTGATGCACCAACGCACATGTCGGTGTCTGCTTGATGACCTGATGCCGCTGGAGAATAAAGTGCATGAGCAGACCTGTAGGAATCATCTGGGGCGGACTCAAAGCGGCAGTAATTGATGGACGAAGAGGATGCGTACTGGCGCTCGTACCGTCATTATTTTCTTGCGCGGTGCGTGGAGGAGCTTTTGGTGGCGCTGAAAAAACTCCACGCGTATAACCCTGGACTTGGCGCGGGACGCAGAGCCGAAGGCCAATCTTGCGGGGTTGAGCAGAGCGGTGCGGGCTCCGCCGGAGCTTCGGGTGAGGCAGGCCAGACTGTCGCTGCACATCGACATTTGCGCGAGGCTTGTGGCACAGTACCGGGAGAAGCGACTGGCGGAGGTGTGGGAAGTGGAGCAAAACATTACCGCCGGGCACGAGCTCTTTATGACAAGCCTCAGCAGCGTGCGGCGCCTGGCGAGGGATGCCGCAATGCCCCGGCCAGTGCGACTGCGTATTCTCCTGTTGCTTTTGGCTGCGAGCAACACCGACGAGTTGACGGAGGCCAAGAAGCAGCAGCTGATCCAAGACGGCGGACTGATGCCCGACGCCCATTTGTTTGCGACCCTCGAGCATCTGACGAGGAGGGCCGGGAGCGTGCAACGATACAGCACGGCGTCGGCGCACAGCGAACGGAGAACGAGTACTTCCGCAGGCAACGCCGCGAAGGACGGGGATCCGTTTCTGAATCAGGCCTGCATGATTATGGAGACGGCGAACAGGAAGAGGACGCTTCGGGTTGGGCTTTCGTTGGCGTCGATTCAGCGCGATCATGCGATGAGGCCAAATGGCGAGAGCTGTGCCCAAAACAGTGGAGCAGCCGGAAATAACGCCGGGACATTTCAAGGGTGTGGTGGCAAGGGGGAGAATTATCCTCATCTGGGTGGCGGTGGTGGGACGATTGTCCCCACAACTCCTCAGCGCATTGTGCTCTTTGTTTTGGGTGGTGTAACCTGCTGCGAGAGGCACTCGGTCCGTGAGATATCCAAAAGGTACGGCCGTGAGGTGGTCATTGGGGGAACCCTACTGCCGTGTCCTGAGGTGTGAGTTTTTCCAGGGACTTGGCACCCCACGGCTGTGGGACTCACGGGCCGGACACGCACAGGAACGCATCGGGGGCCAAAGAGTGGGAAATACACAAACACAAGCAATTGCAGGTGTCCATGGGGATTGTGTGCGCTTCTTCCTACATTTTGTTTCCTTCCATAAATTGTTTCATACGATGCACGTGTTTGTGTTTCAACGGCTGCGCTGCTCGCATTTTGCTTTTTTTTGCCTGCGTTTGCGGTCGCAAGTCATTTTACTACAACGAAGAGGAT